CCAATGGTGTTCAATTTGAAGGAAAAATGAAAATGTTGAAAATCAAACGGGGCACTACATACAATGAGCCAAAGGGGAGAATTCACCAAAAATTGGGTCTGCAAGGCAGCCAATGCGTTCAGCGGATGATCGTCAGCGTAGAGTCTACAGTTGGTAAGGTTTCTATATACTACATTGGTAACGATATATGTGATGATGAAGATGTAGAATGTGTCATAGATGCAATTGTTGACCGAAAATTTCAAAATTTTATTGAGATATATGTTGAATTAGATTGTGGTCAATCTTCATCTGCACTCATGCATACAAGAAGTGAACCATATTTTGGTCAAGAAGAAAGAGTCGTCGATTTATCTGCACCTGCACCTGTCATAAGTTAGATAACACTGAGGGAAATAGATTAGGATGAGCAGGAGGAGGATATGGACAGTGATAAGGATGGTGAACCTGAGAGTGTTATTCTGCTAGGTGACACGTCAGATACTGACGTAGAGGGTGATTTCGATGCTGACACAAGCTCAGGAAACTTGAGTTCCCAGGTTACGCGACCACTTCGTGTTGACCCTGTTAGCAGTGGTAAGATTGTGAATTAAAGATTTAATTTAACATTTCTTCTTTGTGTTATCATCGGTATTAACGGTGGCTTTATAAATTTTGACGTAGGTTATGAGATTGAGCCATTTTGGAACGAAAGCCCACGTTATTCTTTCATTAATTTGGCCCACCCTAATGATGAAACAGAGATATTGTAAGGTGACGATAACTTGCACGGTGGCTGGCAATTAGGGGATTCATTATATTTGTATTGGCAGTTCCGTAGCAAATCTAAATTGCAAGATGCAGTCAAATTATTTTGTATGAAGGCTCACCGTAGTGCCGTTGTGGAAAAAAGTGATGAGCATAGATTTGTGATGAAGTGTCGACACCATAATGATGGTTGTCCCTAGTATGTGAGGGCATTGTTGCCGAAGAATGGAAATACTTGGGTGGTCAGTAAGTGGGGCAAAGAACACACTTTCCTAAACCAAGGTCTTACCCAGGATCATAGACAGTTGGATTCTGATGTTATATGTGCAGCCATTATGAGTATGTAGTATTCGATGTATCTAACTTCCTAAGGTATGTTTATGTTTATCAGTTTGTATTCTGACAGTGTTGACTTAGAGTTTTTTTTTATATAGGTATATTAAAAGAAGATCCATCTTTAAAGCCAGTTCTTATTCAAGAGAGGGTACAACGTTTGTATGGAAACAACATAACTTATAGGAAGGCTTGGAAGGCTAAAATGAAGGCCATTGTGAAGTTATTTGGTGACTGGGATAAATCATATGCATTCTTGCCTGGTTGGCTGACATACATGACGCAAGTTAATATGGGTTTTGTGTTCAAGATTGATACGGATCAATGTGTTGATGAACGACGAGTTTACACCGATAAGGCTGTCTTTCACAGGGTATTTTAGACCTTTCACCAGTGCATTGAGGCCTTCAAATATTGTAAACCTATAATCCAAATTGATGGCACGCATTTGTACGGTAAATATAAAGGAACCCTTTTGATTGCTACGTCACAAGATGGAAATGGATACATTCTGCCTATTGCCTTTGCTATAGTTCCTCCGGGTGAGAGATTGGAAGATTGGTCGTGGTTTCTTAGCCTCATGCGTTTTCATGTCACGCATAGGCATGGCATTTGTCTAATATCCGATCGTCATCCCAGCATCATAAGGGCTGTAAGAGATCATGCCGGTTGGCAGCCTCCATTTGCGTATCATGTGTTTTGTCTACTTTACCGTGAAAGCAACTTTAACACTAAGTTTAGGGATGTGGAATTGAAGAAAACCCTGATGAAACTAGATACACTATTTCCTGGATATGTACATGTTGTATGTTATGCAAATTTGTATCTAACTTATGCAATATTCCTGTTTTTAGGGTACCTGAGTTTGAAGATTCATTTTGACATCAGATTTCAGGAATTTGTCGACAATAACCCACAAGTGAAATCATGGATAGACCAGATTCCCAAAGAGAAATGGTGCAGGTCTTACGACAAGGAGGGCCGAAAGTTTGGTCACATGACGACTAACCTATCTGAGTGTGTCAATAAGGTCCTGAGGGATGCACGTAATTTGCCTATAACAACATTGGTCAAGATGACTCAAAGTAGACTTGTTGAGTATTTCGTCAAAAGACGTGAAAAGATCCAAAAAGCATTGGCAAAAGGTTGGAGAATTGCAAAAAAGGTTGAGGATATCATGCAAAAAAATGATCAGTTAACAGTGAGTCTCCGTGTGCGGGTTTTTGATAGGGACCTGCAACTATTTGAAGTTGAGGATGCCTACAATCAATCAACTCATGATGTCGGTGACATAATGAGGGTGGACTTGCTCAATCGCAAATGTCAATGTGGACGATTTACAGCTAGAAGACTTTCTTGCAGTCACGTCTTAGCGGTGTGCAAGATAGTAAAGTTGAACCACTATGATTATGTTGATCATGTGTTCTCAATTGCACAAATTGACAAGGTATATGCTGCACATTGGTATCCAATGGGCAATGAGTTGTTGATTCCACAAATTGATGGCCCAACCATTATCCCCGATGTATCTTTGGTACGCGCACAAGGAAGACCAAAGTCTTCAAGGATACAAAATGAGATGGATTGGGTTGAGTCTCAACCCACAAGCAGTCAGAGTAGATGTAGCATGTGCAAACAAATTGATCACAACAAACCTACATGTCCTATGAGGATTAGACAGACTTGAAATGTGGAGGAAGCAGGGGAGAGCCTTAATGTGTTTATGGTTTAACTTTCATGTATTTGATGTAATGATGTTACTAAACAAAATTATGGTATTTTGTTGTTTTAATTTTCTTTTGAATGTAATGATCAGGCTATGTTTGGATCCAAGGTATATGCCCTTTTCAATAACCCACAAACGTCGGCAATGGAACTTTTGTACCGAAATGGTACGCACGGACCAAATAATAACAACCATAAGTCACTGTCATCCATAACAACTGAGAATAATAACTTATAGGTGTTTAAAATGCTTAAATCATGATTTGGTACGCCTACACCAACGTTTTGACACAATACATAAACCATTTAGGAATTTAACGTGGACATTGCATTTTTGTGTCGCAAAGTATGTTCCCCAAGTCAAAATTGCTTAGTTAATTAGTGTTGAGTCTCAACCAAGTGAAAAACAACCGTGGAAAACAGATTTAGAGGCCAAAACAATGTTTTAATCGATTAACCTGTAATGGTTTAGTCGATCAAAAATTGTAGTCGATTAAACCAGTACAGGTTAATCGATTAAAACATTGTTTTTGACCTCCAAATCTGTTTTCCATGGGGGTTTTTTTTCCAGGTTCTTGACACTCTACACTGATGAACAAAGGTAGTGTGACTTAGGGAACGTGATTTCTGATGCAAAAAAGCAACTTGGACATTAAATTCCTAAAACGACGTCGTATGCTATCACAACGTTTGTTTAGGCTTACCAAGACATGATTTAGCCATTTTAAACACATATACTTCATTGTTGTGACTTGTTATGGACGATTGTGGCAGACTTGAACTGGGCATACATGAAAAAAACATGAAAAACATTTTGCATTGATTAAAAAAGTTCCATTCATTACAAAACATAAATCCATAAACAAAAGAGTCACTTGATTACATCAAAAATTTAAAGGAAATTCATGAAAAAAACCATAACTACATGAACTAAAAACTAAACCCTAAATCTAATCCTCATACCTGTCTGACTCCGTCTGCTCATCCTCCTCATCTGACATATGACCCCCATCCCCTGCTGCCTCCGCTACCTCCTCACCTCGTGCAAGCTCCAGACGAGCAAGCCTATCTTCTACACCCTTGAACCTTCCCTGTATGTGTCTAAACCTTTCATTCCCTTTTTCGATGTGACTCTTTCTCCACTTTTTATGTTTCAACGCCATATTTCATATCTTCTTCAATGTGGCATTTATGCCCTTCATGACATCACGCAAAGAAAATCCACCTTCAAGTTCAGCTATCTCCTCAACCTTAGCGTCATCCTCATCCTCTTCCTCATCCTCCGTATAATAGCCCATATTAATTAATTAATTAAACATGTTTTAGTGAATGAAATTAAGTATGTGGCTTAATAAAATGAATCTGAGTCGCTTTGGAGTTAAAAAGTGTACTCAGTGAAAATTAAGGGGTATAAATGGGTACTGTCAAAAGTACCCAAAATATAAAAATAAAAATAGTAATATTCCTAGAATAACATTCCAGACTTTTGGGTAAAGTTTGGTAATTATTGGAGTTAAATAGATAGACGAACCAATACCCGCTTAGAGCCACTTAACCTAAGTTAAGTGACTTAAGTCACCAAATGCCCCCATTTTTCCCAGAAGCCCGTCGAGAAACAGAAAAGAAGGAGAAGAGAAGAGAGGGAGAAGAGAGGGAAGAAGAAAAGGGAAAGAGAGAGAGAGAGATCAAACCTTGATGGTTTTGGATGATTCAAAAGCCTAAATCGCTTAGAATCTCGCCCTCTTTCATAATCCAAGCTTTGTTTTGAGTGGGGAACATTGTGGAGAGGGATATTGGCTCTCAAAAATTCGGCCATTGGTGAGATTTTGGAGTTTTGGTGGCTTCTACCTCCATGGGAGCTTGAGGAACACTTCCATCATTGTTGTGCAACCATTGGTGGTAAGATTTAAGCCCTTGAACCTCATGATTCCTTGAAATTTGCATGGGTTAGGGTTTGTGAATAGTAAATTGGGATTTTTATGAAATGTAGTTGAATTAGCTATGTTCTAGGAAGAATGGAGCTTAGAGCATGTTGTGGAAAATGCTAGGAATGTCATTTAATCGGTGGAAATGAGCCTAGATAATCATTTGATAATTGTTCATAATATTGGAAAATTCATGCTTGGATTGGTTAGTATTCTAGCATGTTGAACAATTAGTGAGTTGAATGATTGATTGGGTCCTTGTGATGTCTAGGATTGAGACATTTGGACCAACCGTGAGTGATCAACCATTGGAGCAAGCTATGGAGCTTGAATAGCTCATTGGAATTGGTAAGCTCATACTTGGGTTGTGCTTTGAATTGAGTAATTGATGGTTGATTGTGAAATACTCTTGGATGCAATGTGTTGATTGCATTACACCATGTGTAGGTGTATGTTTGTAAAAGTTGATTGCTGAAACTGTTGGTGAAGAACAAAGGTTGACTGAAGCATTGAGGTAAGCCTTCGGACCTTGGGTGTAATTCCCTTGACTGTTCTACCAAGCCCTGAAAGGGTGGAGGTTGTGATTGTGTATATAAATGCAATAAAATAGTGTAATGCTTTGTTATACGTATGTGTATGCATTTGGTGTGGCATAGGATGGTGTTTCCCTATGTTGGTATGTGGCATGACGATGCGTAAATCATACTTGGTAGTTAGCTGGCCAGTAGGACTATTTGCATCTGAGTTTCCTTAGGACAGCTTGAGAGCTCGAGGGATTTCTCCTGGAGATGTATTGCACTTTGCATAGATATGTATTTACTGCATTATTATTGTTATTGCTATTACACTGATATGGAACTGTGGGGTGGAGAGATGCTCCAAGGACCCCTGGTTTACTGGATATATTCGTATATCTCACCCCGTGTTGTGGGGACCCCCTTTCAGGTAAGGATGCTGCAGGAGCCTCTGGTGGCAAGTGGCCATATCTGGATTATGCATGAGATGTGGCATTCCTTTTGAGTTTATGCATGCCTTTTGTAGTTGACATGTATAGGAGTTTATTTTGAAAGCCCTTGGTCATTTGTATGCCTTGATTCATTGAATGAACTTAGCCTATGCTCATGCCTTTGGTTACACCTTTTGTTGATGGGAGCCAAGGGAATGATCATAGTGTTTTGTAAGCTAAGTTCTATGATTTGTAAAGGATATGTAATGTAAATGATGCCTACTTGAAATTCCATATATGCATGCTTGTTATGTATTGAGTTGTTGAATTGGTTGGGCTGAAAGTCAATTAGGTACCCTTTTGTTTAAACTGGTAAACGATGAGAAAACAAAGGTCATGCTGCCCAAATTCTAGCTAAATCTCATGAGGAGAGGTTGGATGAGGCTAGGATTTAGTTTTGGGGCATGAACAATTGGGATATGTAATGGGGATGCATTTTCCCCTAGGCTTGGACTTGAGAAATGTGGGAATTGGAATTCCCTGGCAGCGCGCTTAAGCGCCCAGGAGCGCGCCCAAGCGCCCTGCTGCCCCTGCGAGTGCCAATGCATTCTGCCTCCTCGCGCTGGAGCGCCCAAGTGGGGGCTTAAGCGCCCAGGAGTGCGCGCTGGAGCGCCCTGGCGTGCGCTTAAGCGCCCTTTGCTGCAGAAAGTTGGGTGGCTTACTGCCCCCTCGTGTTTTAGCGCCCAGGGTGGGGCTTAAGCGCCCAGAGTTGCGCGCTTGAGCGCCCTGGTCCGCGCTTAAGCGCCCTTCGCCATTGAAGGAGGAGATGCTTCTGTCTCTGCGCGCTAAAACGTCCCCGTGGGAGCTTGAGCGCCCAGGATAGCGCGCCTGAGCGCCCTGTTGCGCGCTTAAGCGCCCATCCACACTGGAATGCCTGATGCTTACTGCCTCCGTGCGCTTAAGCGCCCAGATGGAGGCTTTAGCGCCCGATAGCGCGCGCTTGAGCGCCCGGTAGCGCGCTGAAGCGCGCGGGGCCTGTGACCAACACTCTCTTGGGTTGCTTCAAATTGTCCTAACTTGGACTACAGTGCTCCGATTTGAGCACGATTTGAAGCCACGGGTAGCTAATGAAGAAACCTACAATATAGTAGAAGTATTGAATTAAACAAGAAGTAAATTAATGGTTCAAAAATGGGAAATGAACATGATGTTAAGCTTAATTTATCTGTTTCCGCAAGGTAATGTGGTTATGATCACGAAATTGGGTATTATAAGTTCGGTACGTTTTAAAATGAAAAATTTATCCGGATTTTAATTGAAAATTGTAACTGCGCTTAATATCATAATGCGATGTTAACAAACCGGTTCTAGAACGGGGTGTTACATTTTATGGTATCAGAGCAGTTTCGTAGGGAATAACTGTAGCTATTGTTGAGTATGCAGCCGTTCAGAGAGAGTTGGCTGCTAGCAGGCAAGCCAATGAAAATTTGTTAAAGACAAATGAAGACTCGCGGACTGCTATGGCCGCGATGATGACCGAGTTGAGGACGTTGAGGGGTCCTAGGCCCGTGAACCGGCAACCCACTCCTCCTCCTCACACTGCTACGCCTTCTCCACCTCCTTCACAGGAAGAGGGTGGAGTGGGTAACAATGAGGGTGAAGGTAGTCACCACTCCGGAAGTCGGAGTCATCACACTGAGGTTCGTCAACCTCAAGTTGAAAATGTCGGTGATCATGAAATGGAGGAAAGGAGATTGATGGCTTTCCGAAAACATAAACCTCCTTCTTTTAAGGGAGGTTATGAGCCAATGGCGGCTGCAAAATGGCTCCAAGCGATGGAGAAGATATTCAGGGTGATGAGGTGCCCTGACGCAATGAAGTTGGCTTACTCTGTTTATATGCTGGAAGAGGAAGCAGAAGATTGGTGGACAAATACCGTGCAGCCATTAGAAGCTGAAGGTCGGGAGATCACATGGCGGTTATTCGAGACATTGTTCTTGGATAACTACTTCCCTAGAGAGGCTAGGGAACAAAAGCAGAATGAGTATAACGATCTCAAACAAGGGTCGAGGTCTATTGACCAATACTTCTCAAAATTCAATGAGTTGGTGAAATACGCCAACTATGGGCGAGCCTTACCCACCCCGGCTGAAATGACCTCCAAGTTCCAATGGGGTCTTAATGAAAAGATGTCTCGGAAGATGTCAAATTGTGACATCCGAGAATTCAGTCGGTTTGTAAACCAGTGCAGAAAGGTGGAAGAAGTGTATAAGGTGTCCCAAGCCAAGAAGTCTTCTGAGGCCCAGGCACCTAGTTCCCATAAAGCAACGGGCTCCGGTTATTGGAAGAACAGGAAGGTGCAAGGCAAGAAGCTGAATGCGAATAAGCCCTTTGACTTGTTCAAAAAACCCGGTACTCAGAAAAAGTTTGTTGATAGAGGACCTCCTCCCAAGTGCAAGGGATGTGGCAAAGAGCATAGAGGTCCATGTGCTACTGGTGAGGTGATTTGCTTTAAATGTGGAAGATCCGGTCACTACTCCAGGCAGTGTCCTCAGAATGAAGCAAGAACTATGGCAGTTCAAGCTACTGCTGTTCCGGTCTCTGTTGTTCAACCGATGCGAGAGTCTCAGACGGTTGGTAGAGTATATACCATGGACCGTCAGCAATCGGAGAAGGCTCCGAATCTAGTGAAAGGTACAATTTACATTGATAATATGGATGTTGAAGTGTTGTTTGATTCAGGAGCTACACACTCCTGTATGTCTGATTTTATGGCCGTTGGGCTAAATTTGCAAATGTATGACATTCGCCCTCCAATGAAAGTGGTTACTGCTACTGGAGAGGAGTGTTATACATCCGTGTTGTGTAAAGATGTTGAGTTCAAATATGAAGGCCGAGATTACGTGCTGGATTTTATTTGTTTACCTATGATCAGCCTTCAAGTTATCTTGGGTATGGACTGGTTGTCAAAGAACTGTGCTATGATAGACTGCTGCGGTAAAAGGATTGTGCTTGATGCTGATGATTCTGCTACTAGTTCTTCCCCATATCTATCTGTGTTTCAGGTTAGAAAGGCTTTGAGGGCCGGGGCATTGGGATATGTCTTTGTGGGGGGTTTAGTAGGCGGAAGTCATGAGGAGATTGGCACTATTTCCGTGGTGAGGGAGTTTGTGGATGTGTTTCCAGATGAAATTCCACAACTTCCGCCTCATAGAGAGATTGAGTTCACGATTGATCTATTGCCTGGTGTGGGGCCTATCTCTCTGGCTCCGTATAGGATGTCACCACCGGAATTAGCCGAGTTAAAGAAGCATATTGAAGAGCTTTCGGCTAAGCAGTTTATCCGGCCAAGTGTGTCCCCGTGGGGAGCACCAGTCATATTTGTTAAGAAGAAGGACGGTAGCATGAGATTGTGCACTGATTACCGTCAGTTGAATAAGGTTACCATTAAGAACAAGTATCCTCTCCCTCGCATAGATGATTTGCTTGATCAGTTGAGGGGTGCTTGTGTCTTCTCAAAGATTGATTTGAGGTCGGGTTATCATTAAATCCGAATTAGGCAGGAAGATATTCCGAAGACTGCCTTCCGATCTAGATACGTCAGACATTATGATTACCAAGAAATTCCATTTGGACTCACTAATGCTCCTGCGGTGTTTATGGATTACATGAATCGCATATTTAAGCCGTTTCTGGATCAATTCGTGATTGTGTTTATTGATGATATCCTGATATACTCACTGAAGAACTGTGTTGCAAATTCTCAGAGAAACAGTTATATGCAAAGCCTTCTAAATGTGAATTTTGGCTTTCTCAAGTGCAATTTCTGGGTCACGTTATCTCTGCTGAGGG